AATTGTGCTGAGAGTGAGCTTGTGGATGCAATGGTGGTTGTGAAAAACTCCTTATTCGCAGCCTTCACTGCCATCTCATAGTCTTTCATAAACGTCCTTAGGCTTACATAAATGTTCTATAAGATGTTCTTGCCTCTTCATTGTGAGTTCACTGCCACACTTGCTCTAGCCATCTCAGCTCCTGTTTCATCCCCCTGAGTTCTGTTGTATACTAGGGGGATAATTTAACATGGGAATGGAGAGGGTGTGGGGGGAGGGAGAGCAATCTCATTGATGGCTTCAGAGAGACAGGAGTTCCAGTCCTCTATCAGTGCATCTTAATGAGTCACCGGTGGGCATTGGATCCTGTAGAGCATACTGGAATCTAGTTGGATCCATAAGTCTCTGCAGGCGAGTGTAAATCTGCTCATTGCCTAGACAGGGGGCAGGTGAGATATCCATCTGGGCCTTTAGGGCAAAGTGATCTGACCACCACAGAGTAAGTCTTCTCTGAGTTAATGTTTTTAGGATTGCACTGTAAGTGCTACAGTGATGGCTTGGTTGTTGAAGTGGCAACAAACATTTTCTGTTAAAGTGTAGGGTGGGAACATCTTTTGAGCATATTTGTGCAATGAAGTAAAAATCTGGAAGTGTTTTATCTGCTCCAGAAACCACAATTTCTTACAGGTAAAGTGAATTTAGTTCTTGTTTTGCTATTTCTTATTTAATACAAAGATGCATAAGCAGCCCAAAAGGAATTAAAGAAGTAGTCAGCTCTGGACAAAAAACACATTTACTTTTTAGGGTGGTAGATGGGACTAGAATCCTTGTGACTTTAAAAACAATGAAACAGGCAGGAAGGAAACTGGTTCTGCTTTTCTTTTACCATACATTTGCATGCAACACATTCTAGCTGCATCACATGAGAGGTAATACGGCAGATGGACGATACTTTGCCCTTTCTTCTATGTTAGCAAAAACAAAACAGGAAAAGAAACCAGCTGCCGTATGGAGACAGAAACTCAGAACTCAAACAACTCAAAATTTCCCCTGCCAATACGTGGGAAAAACTACAAATGCAGAGAACCAGTGGCAATTGAATGCAAAATTTAAGTGAAAAAAATTCCTCTCCTGGAAGATCTAAAATTGCCAGTTATCAGACATTAATAACTTCAATGCTTTCTAAGTTCTTAAAATTGCACAAAATTTTAGAAAGATACCTAGTGTATCAAAAAGTGCCACCCTGTCTGACCTGTCAGGGGTAATCTCAGGCTTGGTGCTAGAGACTCCCTGACTAATTGTTCTGGGAGATTTCAATATCCACGTTGACGTCACCTTGTCTGGGCCATTTCAGGATTTTGTAGCCACTCTGGGTCTCCCACATGATGGCCCAAAGCACAAGAAAGGACATACCTTACATTTAATTTTTTACAATGATTCTTGGGGTTAAGGTCTGGTTTGGGGACTGGAGGTTCAGCCTATGCCATGGTCCTACTAACTGCCTACTCAAGACATGAGTAAATATGACACTGATACTATACAGGAGTGAGGGGGTCTGTTAAAATGATATGCCTGTGGAGATGGATCCAACCTAGGGCTGTCAGGTTGCCAGTTACAGCAGGCAACCTCCTGCTCATGGGGTCTACGTTCCTACTGCCACTTGATGGAGCAGCTGGAGCAAAATGGGGTGGGGGGACTGGTATCCTTCGAAACTGTAGGAATTTTTACAGTTCAGTATTTGAGCTTCAGCTTCATTATCTGGCCTTCCAGGGAACACTCAGGGTTGATTTCTTTTAGGATTGACTGATTTGATCTCCTTGCAGTCCAGGGGACTCTCAAGAATCTTCTCCAGCACCATAATTCAAAATAATCTATTCTTCAGCGCTTGGCCTTCCTTATAGTCCAGCTCTTGAGGGAAACACCAGCCATAAAGGTACTGTTAGTACACCAAAAGGTCACAAGTGGATAATCCATGGCAGCTAGGGCTAGCAGGAGGCAGCTTTTGCAGGTAGACATGGAGACTGAAAAAGAGTAAATTCTTAGTAATTGTGAAAAACCTGCATTCCACCTAGACTACTTCTGTGTCCCACCAGTGCTATGTATATCACCAGCTGAGAACCACTGATCTAGAGAATGCTGTTGATTTATGTTAAAGGTCAGAATAGAACACATTAGGGGTGTGTGTGTGTGCGTGCATGAAGATACAGTGCCAAAGCGAACAGGATACTCTTCAGCACAGTGAATATTATTTGTCTGAGGAACCTTTGTGCAGTCACAGCATCCAAAATAATAAGCTCTAGAATCTGATGCCCTACAGAAAAAAATATCCTTCATGCCCCCCCAAAAGAACAGATGCCTTTTACATTAAATATTAAGTGTCACAAAGAAGGAATAAGCAAAGAGTGTTATTCCTTCAGATACCTCTTTAGTAACACACATGATTAAAAAGTTATGATATAGCTAGTTATAATAAATTTATTGTTTAAAAATAAACAGAAATTATCTATTATTTGATTTAAAAACACAAAGATACAGAAGTGTAAAAACAACAACATTGAGTCCTGACGTGAATAGCCCAGGCAAGCCCGATCTTGTCAGATCTCGGAAGCTAAGCAGGGTGGACTCTGGCAAGAACTTGGATGGGAGACCTCCTTGAAATACCAGAGGCGGGAGGTGGGGGCAGGCTTTATTCAGCCACCTCTCTGAATATCCTTCAGGCTCCCAGTAGGGGTCAGTCACCAGAGGTCACCATGACTTCCAGTTGCGCACACACACACATTCACACGTGCACACACAGGCACATATAAAAAATACCAAAAAAAATAACAACTTTGCTTTCACTGTGCAAGTACTCAGAGGATCTTCTGGCATTCTTTATTCTTAGTTCAGCTGCTTGAAATGTGTACAGATTCCTTGAGTTTGTTCAGAAGGGCTCCAGTTTGACATTTTGAGCAGCAGGCTGGAAACCTTTGACAATGCACCTGATACCTTGTTAGAAATTGCAGAAAATACTGCAAAGCAGCGAGTTCCTGTTTAAGAAAGAAGACATTTTGCTGCAACAACACACAGCAGTAGGGCACTGTTGAGTGACTCCATCTAGTTAAACTAGTCTCTTAACCAGAACAAAGTTGAGTCCAGTAGCACCTTTAAGCCCAACCAAGTTTTATTCTGGGTATAAGCTTTCGTGTGCATGCACACTTCTTCAGATGCATTGAGACAGAATTCACCAACCACTACATATAGGTAGCAGGTGAGGAGGGATGTTGCCAGGAAGGGCCAATAAGAGCTAAGACTAGATTAAGGAAATTGGTAAGGCCTGTCTCCTTGACCAGTTAGAAAAAAACCTCTTCTTAGCTCCACAATACAATTTGAACTCTGGTTACTACTAGCCAGTCAAGGTGAGATGGAACCCATTATTACAAATTCTGAACTTCTTCCTAAAATACCCTGACTTTTTACATATGTCATAACCTCATGAATGGGAAGCAAGGATATTTAATAAACTTTGTGTGGACGTAGTAAGAGAAACAACATCCAAGAATTCAAAAATTGTATTTGGTGGTCATAGAGAAATGGATTAAGTAGTCGTCCTATCCCTCCCACTTCTTCATTCTTAATTCTCTCTACTACGGCAGTTTTTTGTTTTTAGAACAGAGCCAGAACTCAGCTACATGCATTTGCAAGTAAACTGTAGTTAGTGCTAAAGATATCCAACATGGTTCTGATTTAACAATTATCAGGTATATTTATCATCAGCTATTATTTCCGTGTCACATAAGAGGGGATATCAAAACATTCCAAACATTTGAAATTTACTAAAGTTTGGTCTTGATTATGTGAATACTAGGTTCAGGAAAGAATCCAAACCTGTCTACTCAGAAGTGAGTCCTACTATATTCAATGAGTCTTATTCACATAGAAGTGTTCTTAAATTTGGAGCCTAAATATCTCAGTAAAAGTAGTGGTGAAATATTTGTATTTCAAAGGACTATTGAAAATGGCAAAATGCATTCTACTTTATTGCTGCTCTCAAATTCAGAATGAGAAAATGATATTCTTTGAAGGTTACATCCTTTTTTCACATGAGAAGGCTTGGTCCAAAAGGGGAAAAAATGGAAGCCCATTTAGCAAATCTTTTAACTTCCACTCCAGTCACATAACCAGATCCTTGACCATAACTGGTTCACAGAGGTGGTTTCCACTCAGGGATGGGCTTCAGTGGTATCCTTGCTGTTGGTATGCCTTCTGATAAAGCACAGTGTCAATGGGGCTTCCACATGGCAGGTTTCCCCATATGCCTTTCCCCTTATATTTCTGCAAGGGAAGGGGCTGGGAATTCAGAGACCCTGATACATATATTGTTGCAACAAAAAGTTCCCCCCAAGTAGCAGGGGGAGGAAGCTGCTGCTGTAGGGACAGGACAGGGAAAACGGCTGCCATGCGGGTGGGAAAATCTGTGTTTTCCCTCTCATAGCAGCCATCCAGGTTTTACTGTGATTGTTCCAAAAACTTTGGAGCAAAGCATGTTTGAGAAAGATCAGGAAAAAAGATGGGGAAACCCCAGATGGTAAACCAATGTACCACAGTGCTGTGGGGAACAGCGAAAGAACCTGCTTCCTAACAGCATTAAGCGCAGGGCAGATAACCTGTGTAGAAACGACCAGAGAGTCAGTTTGGTTTTCATGAGATAGGGGAGGGGTTGCTTCATCTCAAAGGGGAAAACAAACCAGACTTGATCAGAAAATCAGGAGTGTTGAGCCGCATGTCTTTGTGAGACTTCACATACTGTATAGGCACTGGCACTAAGGTGTCCCCAAAGTGGTGGAAGTATTGGCAAAGGGATAAATCCCATTGGCTATGACCTTCAAGAAATAGCAGATCCATTTTGTAGCAATTTTTCAATTACCAGCAAAGTGCTTCAGCCCAACAACATTTGATAATCACATAGAACTGATTATCAATTATTATTAGAAGTCCAATCTCAAGACTGGTTGTAAAATCAGATCTGAAGATACTGTGGCGGTGTACTTTTGCTATTTATTCTATTCAAAGCCATACATAAAACTGGATTTGTTTTGCCATCTTTCAGGAAGGGCTCTAGCTTGTTGTCAAGACGTGACAACTGAGCAAAAATTGCTACTAAGGATGGTTACCACACTGTTACACTTTCATGCAACTAAGAGCAACAGAGAACACACATTAACCAAGCCAGACATTCTTTAACACTGGAGTAAGCTGTCATATAGTGTTAGCAAATGGTAACTTTTCTCTCCATTGAGTCATCTTCTCATGTATTCACCAACCATTTCTGAATCTGATGACTCACTTTCTTCAGAACCACTATAATTTTGCCATGTAGGTGACATGTCAAGAATATCAGACCTCTGCGTATCCACTCTGTTAGCAAAATGTTTTGGTTCAGAGGCATCAGGATCACATGGTTCCTGCAAGTCTGATGTATCTTCTTGAAAGGAGATTTGTGTTGCCAAAGCTTCCCAATTTGTATTGGGTACTTCTAGCTTCACAGTATCTAAGTTAATATTTAAACAGCCACCACCCTCTGGTTCGGGTAAGGAGGAGGAGTTCATGTCAGAAGAAGGGTAAAACATCTGGTCTGTTGCACTGTCTTCTTTCTTAATATCATATTGAGAGTCCTCTGCCTCAACGTCTAACATTTCAGCTGTTTGACAGTCACTTGCAGTTGATGAACAGCCTATAGATACTGTATCTTCTATGTCTGTCTTGGAATGGGATTTTGAAATTGTGCCCAAGGGCCTGCGATTAGTATATATGGCATCTTTTTCATTACTACTTTCACCATCATAACTGTTTTCCCCAAACGTTTTCCCCCTCTCCTGGATCATCTGAATAGTGTGCACTTCTTCAGGAGGAGAGTCAAAGAGTGAATAGTTTAATTTTTGTGTGGGTTCCTGAAAAGAAAGAAAAAAGGGAATTTACAAACAGATGCATGGGGTAGTTTCAAAACAGTGCTGGAGTGTAATAAAAACAGTGGTGCTCAGTATATCACCTTTGGAATGTTCAGTATATCATCTTTGGCATATTCAGATGTCACAAACAAACCTCTGTTCATGATGACCTTACTGAGGCTTGTTGCAATGCTTGTGTGCTCTCCTTCTTTGAAAGCACCCCCCCACACACACATGTGGAGGCCCTAGTTTTGGAATCTTTGAATTAAACAACATTTTGCCATGATAATCAAATGGCACCAGTTTGGCCAGATGCCTGCAGGTGGGCATCATGGCAAACTGGAGTTTAATTCAGGCTTCTGAAACCAGGAAGCCTTCGTTCATGAATGGAGTGCAGGAACATGAGTTCATGCCCATCACCAGCAAACAGTGATGTGTTCATAAAAAACTTAGCTTTTGTGTTAATAGTTTATTAACATCTCACTCTCAGATGTTACCCAGCCTAGTTGGTGGTGGTGGTGCAGTGGCGGCGGCTCCTACACAAAAGCCTGGCGGAAGAGCTCCGTCACAAAGGGTGCCTTTAAAGCCCTTCATGGCCCATCTGCAGCAATGCCTTTCTTCATATGAGCCCAGGGGCACCACTAAAAACAGTTCAACAAGCTCTGCTAGAGGTGCGATCACATTGTCAGGTGAGGATGGTAGGCTAACAGTGACAGTTTTTTAATGTGCTTCTGACCCACTCAAACTTTCCTCCAGAAGACTAAAAGATATGTTACTGGTAGAATCTGATCAATGAGCAAGGAGGAAAAGAGGGAAATACAAGATTTGGGCTGGAGGTTGGAGCACTGTGGGAAGTCAGAAGGGGTGGGTAATTAGGAGAAAGGGATATATGATAGTTTGTAAGGTGGTGTATAGTGTGATTTATTGATATATCCTAATAAAAATTGGTTGTTTTTTTAAAAAAAACTTTCCTCTAGAAGATGTTAAGTTGCTTCTTTGTTTCTTTCTCTTTGAACTAGCATTTAGCAGAGGTCTCTGGGACTTTTAATAGTGCAGTTTGGGGTTGAAGGCCAGTGGTGTAGTGGTTAGAATGCTGAGCTAGGGTCTGGGAGATCCAGGTTCAAATCCCCACACTGCTATGAAGCTCTCTGGAGGAACTTGGGCCAGTCGTTCTCGCCCATTCTAGCTTATCCTCAGGGCTGCTGTAAGGATAAAATGGAGAAAGGGAAACACAAAGTACATTGGCCCAAGTTCCTTGAAGGAAGCATGGGATAAAAATGTACAAGTGCTACTATTAAACTGAAAACATCATCTTTATGGTTTTACTACATGTTTTAATGCATTTATAAATGGCACTGACTGCAGGATAAAGTGGCATAATGTTTAAAATGAATTTAATAACATTAAAAAATAGAGGGAAGTTTATCCATAGTGGTACAATGAAAAAACAACAACCCTGAACATCCTTCTAAGGCTAGATTGCATTACACTTTCTTCTTCCTTTGAAATGTTGGTTCCATGGACATATGTGGGAGAGAGGCTAAATGCATGTGTGTGAAGTATTAAGGCAGCTTTCAGAATCCAACAGTGCAGGAAGCCAAGAATGAACTTGGGGAGGTAGCCTTCTCAGAAGTGCTGCCTGTTCCATGTGCAGGGCAGCTAGACAGGCACAAATTAGGAGCCTCAATGCATGGATGAGATGATGGTGTACAGAGGAAGGGTTTAAGTTCGTTAGGCACTGGGATGCCTTTTGGAACAAGCAAGACCTGTACAAAAGAGACGAGAAGGAACCAGGCTGCTCGTACTTAAAATCAAAAAGATGGCAGAGCAGTTTTTAAACTAAATCTTGTTGACAAGAGATGAAATGTCTCTGGTTTGAGATGGCTCATCTCTAAGAGATGATGGGGTAGCTGTTACTGTTCTACAGGGAAATGGATTAGGGATGGCCACTGAGAGGGTAACAAACAACGTTAAGTGCCTGACAAGGTCTAGAGGCCACAGGAGGAAGGTTGCAGTCCTAACCTGTTTGGGAAATTATAGATGTTTATATGCAAATGTTAGAAGTGTCTGGGGTAAAATGGAGGAGCTGGAATGCTTAGTGTCAGAGGAAAACATAGACATTGTGGGTATTTCAGAATCTTGGTGCGATGAGGATAATAAGTGTGATACAATGATTCCTTTATATAAATAATATCAGGATAGGGAGGGAAGGGTTGGAGGTGGAGTGGCTCTGTATGTCAGAGAGGGTATATAATCCAGTAAAAGTGAGAAATCTAAGAGAAATAGGTTCGCTTACATAAATGCTATGGGTGGAAATAGTGTGCCCAAAAGGAAGGTTAACTCTGGGAGTTTATCAGCCTCCAGATCAAAGTTTAGAGGATGATTTAAAAACAGCAGAAGAATTAAGGAAAGCAGCTCGATGAAATAGTGCTATACAAATGTTTCAGGGAACTGTTGGAGGTGCAATAACAATAAAGGAACGCATTTACACATTTGGTGGAAATGTGAGAAAGTGCAGAGATTCTGGAAAAGTACCAAGCAATTGATAAAAGAAATAACAGAAATAGACTTGCCCCTGAACCCAGAAATCTTTTTGTTAAATATTACACCCAACGGTATTAAATATAATGAAACATGTATTATTGTATATCTAACCACAATGGCAAGAATCTGTATTGCTAGAAACTGGAAATCGGATAATATACCAAATAAGGAAGATCTGATAAATAAGCTCTTTGAGGTAATAGAGATGGATAAATTAAACATGTTTTTGGCTGGAAAGTTGGATGATAAATTTAACCAGAAATGGCACAAAGCCATAAAATGGTATGAGGAAAAATATGTAAATTAACCCCCAAATGTGAATATAAAAAAAGAGACAAATGTATGTATAATATGGAAAAATGTAAATAAACATTTCAAAAAAAGAAAAGAAATAACTGTATCATAATAGGTGATTTTAACTACCCAAACATTGATTGGGTCAATATGTGTTCAAGTCAGGAGAAAGAGATTGAATTTCTAGATACTCTCAATGACTGTGCCATGGAGAAGATGGTTGCAGAACCCTTAGGGGGAGGTAATCCTGACATGGTTCTAAGTAATACTCAAGACCTGGTGAGAGGTTTAAACATGATAGCACCAGTTGGGAACAGTTCCCATAATGCTAATAAGTTTAGCATTTATGTAAATTGGGAGTTGCCCCAAAAGATCAACACAACCACATTTAACTTTAGAAGGCATAACATCTCTCAAATGAGGGGGATTGTGAAGAAGAAACTGAAAGAAAAGGAAAGCAGGGTCAAATCTCTTTGGGAAGCTTGGAGACTATTTAAAGCTACAATCCTGGAAGCTCAGATACAATGTATACCGCAGGTTAGGAAAGGAACGAATAGGAATTAAAAAAGGCCTGCATTGTTAACACACAAAGTAATGGATGTAGTAAAAGGTAAGAAGGATTCCTTTAAGTCTAGTCTGAGTGAGGTAAACAAAAGGGAGCACAGGCTTTGGCAAATAAAATGCAAGTTGGTGATCAGACAGGCAAAAAGGGACTATGAGAAACATATTGCAAAAAACCGAACAACATAAAGACCAACAATAAAAATGTCTTCAAGTACACTAGAAGCTGAAAACCAGCCAGGGAGGCAGTGGGACTCTTGGATGACCAAGGAGTGAAAGGATTACTGAAGAATGATAAGGAAATGGCAGAGAAGCTCAATACATTTTTTTGCCTCTGTTTTCACTGTGGAAGATGGGAGGTGCTTGCCCACTACAGAGCTGCCTATTTCAGGTGGGGTGTCAAAAGACCTGAGTCAAATTGAGGTGATGAGAGAGGAGGTCCTACAACTGAAAAATTAAAAACTGACAAATCACTAGGCCAACATGGCATACATCCAAGAGTTCTGAATGAACTCAAACGTGAACCTGTGGATCACCTGACAAAAATATGCAATCTATCACTAAAGTCTGCCTCCATTCCCAAGGACTGGATGATAGCTAATGTAACCCCCATCTTTAAAAAAAGTTCCAGAGGAGATTCAGGAAATTACAGGCTTGTCAGCGTAACGTCGATACTGGGTAAATTGATGGAATCTGTTATCAAAGAGAATTAGTAGGCACACTAATGAACAAAAACTATTGAGGAAGAATCAGCATGGATTCTATAAGGGAAAATCTTGTCTCACTAGAGAGTTCTTTGAAGGGATTAACAAATGTGGACAAGGGTGACCCAGTAAATGTTGCTCACCTAGACTTCCAGAAAGCTTTTGAAAACATTTCCTTTCCTATGAGGAAAAGTTTAAGAGGTTAGGGCTTTTTAGCTTGGAGAAACGATGATTAGGGGTGACATGGGATAGAGAAAGTAGAGAAAGAAGTACTTCCTTTCTCACAATACAAGAACTCATGGACATCCAATGAAATTAATGAGCAGTAGGCTAAGAACAGATAAAAGGAAGTACTTCTTCACCCAAAGTATAATTAACATGTGGAATTCACTGCTACAGGAAGTGGTGGTGACTACAAGCATATTCTTTTTTTTTCCCCAATATTTTTATTAGAAGATTTTTACAATACAGAATAATAACCGGTTACAAAAAGCAAAATTTCAGAAGATGCAAACCGCCTCTACTCAAATCAGGCATATATATCTTACTTTACCTAAACTTTATTAAAGTCCTAACAATTTTTGAACATATCTAGTTGTAGGAAGTCAGATGTATAGAGTGTTCTAATTAAATTGCATTATTTTGTATTTTGCATTAGCAACGTCTATCCAATTAAATTGCGCTAACAATATTTTTTCTAAGATCGGGCTCCAAATACTCAGAGGGTTATAAAATTCGCACTCGTTTTTAATTGATGAGTCATATATAGAGAGGTTTTCTAGCATAAATATATCCCAAACTTTATTAATCCATTGTGTTAATGTAGGTGGGTTTCTGTTTTTCCAATTCTTCGCAATTGTAATCTTAGCATATTCAAGAAGGGATTGGATATACATGTGGAGCAGAGGTCCCTCTGTAGTTATTAGCCACAAGGTACAGATGCATCACTATGTCTGGCAATGATGCTCTGTATTCTTGGTGCTTGGGAGGGCTTCTGGAGTTCTGGCCCTGCTGGTGGACTTCCTGATGGTACCTGGGTTTTTGTCACTGTGTGACACAGAGTGTTGGACTAGATGGGCCACTGGCTTGATCCAACATGGCTTCTCTTATGTTCTTATGTTCTAGGTGAGGGGAAAGTGTGTGTAGTTCATAGCAGGAAACACAGAAGTGGCTTTAAAGACTTCTTATACTTCTGTGAAGCTATCTTACAGTATGATCCTATACACAGTTACACTTTGTTAAATGCACTGACTTCAGTGGTTTTAGAGGGGTGAAACAGATTAGGATTACCTTGGTTCAATGACAGTGCAAAGATCATACCAATGTAAGTCAATAAAGACTAAGGGAATCAACTGGTTTGACACTTCAGTGGGTTTCACAGACACAAGGATATATTTCCTTGATTCTGCCTTACCACTGCAGAGCTGAACTCCCTCCTTTTGCACCATCTGAACAAATACCTGATGAAAAGTAAACAGAAGTTTTCAAAGTGTACATACCAAAACTTTGGGTCTTTCTTTTGATTTTAAGTCACCAGAGCCTGCCATGTAGTATTGTAACCACACAATCATTCCAACTGCTAGCGAGAGAAATATGCCACATATGACTGGGATAACATAATCTGTAGGTTTAAAAGATATTTGGTTAAACAACATTGCATTTCAGGGTTCTTGCAAAACATATTTTTGGTTTAGACCAATGAATTCAAACAAAAGTGTTTATGTTACTTAAAACTCTTTTTAAAAGCTATTTTAAGATATCCCTCCCCACAGTAAATAGTTTACCAACAAATGATGTCATTCCACCATAATTCAGGGTACCTGATTTATCCTTGGAGCTGATCACAATGCATTTCCAGGGAGATGGAACACACTTTTTACTTGCAGAAGAGCTTGTATCAACGGAAACACAATAATTTCTGTTTTGATGCAAACCTTCAAAAACAGTGTAAAAACTCTCTCTTTCTGTTGTATTAGCGTATACAATATCCTGCAAAAACAGATACTTTAACTTGAAAACTGCATCAAGTATGCTGGCAAGGACAAATATAAATGTGTGAAATGGTAGGATGCACTGCTATTAAGTATGAGTAGGAGAGTGCACTTTACATCTCAGCCATAAACTCAGTACAGGGCCTTAGCAAGCTACCTTCTCTAATTAGGGCTCCGTTACACATCCCTGCCCTATGTATTTTAAATCACAGCTGTTTCTTTTGCAAAACAGGCTTTGGGGTAGTTTGATCATGGAGAACTGCATGGCAACAGAGGGGAATTTGAACCTTTCATCACCCGTTGTTGTCTCACTGGGGGGGGGGGGAACATAACAAAACAACACCCTGGACCTACTTTTACCCACACTGGAGAAAAATGATTCTACTTGTAAGTTTTCACTCTCAGGAGTAAAAAGTAGCTTGGGGTGGTTTTGGCCAGTGAGACAGAGAAGGAAAAAGCTATAGTTTCCATCCTTCCCCCACACCATTCTTGTCTTTGATCAAACAGTCCCAGAGCCTGCATTTGCAAAAGTCATTTAGAAAACATGGAGAGGCAGAGACATGATACGCTAAGTTTAGCCCGAAGACTGAGCATTCTTAACAAATGATCATAAGAGAGGCCAAAATGGATCAGACTACTGGTCCATCAAGTCCTGTCCCCTGTTTCAGACAACGGCAGAGAGATCACGGCTTAGTGCTGGAATGCCTGTTTTGCATGCAGAATCACTCCAGGCTCAGTGCCTTGCATCTTCAGTTCAAAGATCTCAGGTAGCCAATGTCAACTGTCTATGATCCTGGAGTGCTGCTGCTAGGCACAGCAGACTAGCTAGATGAAGCAGTGCTCTGACTCAGTGCAAGGCAGCTGAACAAGTTTCTTATAAGTTTCCGCTCATCTGCATGTGCTGCAACAGTGGCATGATGGCAATGATATACTAGTGTAGAATCACATTCTGCTAGTTTAAGGTAAGTCTCATCACATGCACTTGGGAATTGTGCTGCTGCTATACTATTGAGCATATACTTATTGTTCCAGTAGGAGGTCTGAAACAAACTGAATCTTCCTTATCAATCCAGATTTCACCTTCCACTTTAGCACCAATGGATGTGCACGCTAAGCTGCCCCATCCATTGCAAAGAATGGGGAGAACCATCCATGTAGGAGCTCCATATGCATACTGGAGCACAAACAGGACCATGGATCAAAGGGTGGTACTATAAATGATAAAATATGCTATAGCTGAAAAGACAAGAGAGTTCAGTGAAGATTTTTCTAATTAAAATTCAACAGTCCGTTTGTTATATGTGGCTAGCTGGTGGGACTACATCACTGCTATTCAGAGGTCCCCTCACTGGCTGCTGATTAGTTTCTGGGTCCAACTAAAGGTGCTGGTGAACATCTTTAAATCCCTTCATGAGCTGGGGCCTATATACTTGGAAAACTGCCTCTTCCTCCATGCTTCTGTGTGGCAGCTTCATTCTTCGGCAACAGTCCAGGCTCAAGCCTTTTCAGGGGTTGCCCCATGTGCCTCCTGAACAGCCTCACAGAAGAGATTAGGGGGCTCCTGTTGTTGTTGTTGTTCAGTCGCAGTCAAGTCCGACTCTTCGCGACCCCATGGACCAGATCACGCCAGGCCTTCCTGTCTTCCGCCGTCCTCTGAAGTTTGCTCAATAGGGGTCTTCTACCTTTCTGGCTTTTCAGAAAGGTTGCACAAAGGAGCTGTTCCAGAGAACTTTTGGAGTAGTCCAAGCCTGGGAAGAGGGGGAATACCACTGGTGGAGAGCACTTGGTATGTTTAGACTGCTATAAATGTTTTTATATCTGTTGTTTTTAATATTTGTTTTATAAACATATTTTACATTGTTGTTGCTAACCTTGGGTCCTGAGATGCTTGGGAGAAATGTGGCATATAAATATTTTTTAAAAATAAATAATAAACCTCTTACCTGTTCTTCAAAATTCACAGCTTTCACTTTTATTGTATACTCCATTCTTTTATATACATTAAGTAATGAAGAAAGAATTTTCACTGTCACATTAACACAGCTTGAACAAGTAGAAATGTTAAACTCAGGTGGTCCTAAGCATGCTGTTTGAGAAATAAAATAAAGAGGTAATAAATTCCATTTGCAACAAGTGATATTTCTGGCTTTCATATATGTTGAAGGAGGTTAAAATAGATCAAATCATTGTTGGCTGTCATCCTAATTCTGATCCTGAAAGTCAGCCCTGAATCTACCAGCTAGCCCTGTGTGCAGATGCTAACTTCTATTTTGGGATGGAAGTATGCATTAGATGAGAGATCTGTGATCAGTTCTTTCACTGTTTTCTTTAGTACAAGGGGCAATTTCGTTTGGGGCTACAGCAGGAGTATGTGTTTAATCCTCACTCCTCACACCATTCCCCAACAGAAATTGTCCCCAGGAGTTGCATTAGTTGCAGTAGGTGCCTGTCTTTTCCCCTACCATACCTAATAGTAGCTCTGGGAAAGGGAGAACAATTTCCACCAAAGAAATGGTACCAAAAGGAGGTGGTTGGTCAACCTTGGCACTGCAGTCTTGAACCACATCCCACTCCCCCCCTTCCATACTGCCTTTTACAGAAACCACTGGAAGAGCCAATTGTGCATTTATTCATGTCACACATAGCTTGGTGCTAAGATTTGTTCTTGGCAGCTATTACCATAGCCTGTGGGCCAAGCTAGATATGAATCTTGGAGATCTGTGAATGGATCTTAATAGTAATTTTTAATTTGTAATGGTATATGTGACGATCAGGGTCATGGCATTTAACTCCTCCTCTTCATGTGGTTTCATTCACTGAAACCATTCACTCCCCAACAGGCTGTTGGTATCCGTGAAAGGGACAAAAGACAGAATCCTCTCTTTGTGTCACCCCCACCCCTTCTAAGGCTGGTAACAATATAGGATGTGTTTTGGTGTATGTATGTGAGTGCTGGTTAACTCCCTTATCCCTGGGCAGCAGTCCTGATGTACATGATGCTCATTCAGAGATCTCTTGAGCATCCTGTTTGGCTTGGCCCCCAATTCTATAAAGAGGAAGGCCATGCAAGAGTAGACACAAAGGTCACAAGCAGACGCATCTGTGAGGGCAAATCCAAAACGTGCCAGTACAATAAAAATACAATAAAAATAATTGTCAGTTTGCTATTCTATAGTGATATCCACATTTCATTTTGTCTAATCACAGGACATCCCTGAAGGTCACAGAGAAAGCTTTACAACCTGTATGATACATGCATTCCTCCAAGCAGCGAGAATATTTGCAGTGATGTACATAGCAGCAGGACTGGAAAATGCTTCAGAAATGAATACAGAACAATGTACTTACTATCTGAATATGGAGTGAATAGGTAGCCTGAATAATTTGCTGCATGTTCTGGGAATGTCGTCAGTGCTATCACATATGTCTTGCTAGGATCTGTAAACTCCTTTGTCAGGTTACAGAACAAATGTGTGATATTGGAGCACTCCTTGATGTTTTGAAAACAACTTTAAACGGAAGCAATATAAAAACAAATTAGACCAGCAAATAAAAGAGCAGCATGCACACTGACAACAATGTTGGGTACCAGTCAAGCTGGTATATACTTTATCTTGCCATGAAAATTCAAATCTTAATTGACTGTGTGTATCCCAGGCCACTGTTCCTATTACTTGTTGGACCTGTGTGCTTGCCGACTCCTCTGTTGCTGAGTCCTTTGACCACCAGAAGGTCTGCCAATCCTACCACCAGGGTCTCGAATTTCACCAAGCACTGCCCACATATTTTTAGACTTGTATCTGCAGCCTTAAAAGTCTAGAAACATGTTTTAAAACGGAACCAAACGTTTAAGCAGTCAAGACCATATACTTGAGTTTATACTTGCACAGCAAACCTATGAATGCATACATATGTAACATATAGAGGCTGGAACCTGATGCCTAAAACACTGTTGATTGGAAGCTGGGAAGTGAAGACATGATGTTCATTGTTTAAAGTTATTTCACTTTAAATACTTTGGTGTATACAGTAATGCGTCATACTAGAGGCAGGGATTTCAACAATCAGCCTCTTTCCTGAGGACTGACTCCAATGAAACGTTAGTAGCTCACATTCAAGAATCATGCAAACCTCTGTTTTCCTGTTACTACTGTACTATAAAATCTATATAATTAGCAAAGTTGGCCAAGTCTTTGGATACTTAAATCCGGTGACTCGAGCTGTGAACGGGCAAGATAGATCTTTCTGCAAACCTGAAAAATACCCCAGATTTGCAGAAAAATCTGAAATCTAAATAAAATAAAATACATTGGGGGGAGAGGGTTAAAAAAACCTGAAAATGATAAAAGGAACACCTATAGCTTTAAGCAACGGATTCCCTCAGTGGCTGTTGCTAGGCAACCACAGTATTCCAAGCTTGGTTCTGTCAGTAAAAAGCAAGAGGAGGGGCCGATGTTGGCCTTTGAGGGAGGACTCCTTAGGGCCAGGCCTGACTAGGGTTTCCAGGCTGTCCTGCCCCCTGAAGGGGAAAACAGCCACTCACTTAAGCATATAGGAATGCTATTCCAGCATCCAATCATCTTTGAGAACAGGGATGGAATACTGGAGAGAAACACAGTAGGAGTTCAGTTCAGTTCTGCCTCAGGGAGAGAGCAGTGAGAGCTCAAGTCTGGCTCAGGAAAACAGCAGACAGAGTGAAGGGTAGCTCTGCTTGGTAGTGTGGTAGTGTGGTTTGGCTCTACTTCTGACAGAAAATAGAGTACCCCCAATTAGAAAGATCCAGGTGGTCAGCTGTGTTGGTCTGAAGCAGTAGAACAAATTTTGAGTCCAGTGGCATCTTTAAGACCAACAAAAGTTTATTCAAGGTATGAGCTTTTGTGTACACACACACTCCCTCAGCTACACTCAAATGGAAGTTAACAGTTCATATATATAGGCAAACTAGCATACAACTTAATGAAGATGTTTTGACATATGAAAGACTAAACCACAGCAACAAGCAACATTCATACGGTCACCATTTGTTTGGACTTAATTGGGGGGGGAGCAGTGAAGTAACATAGATGTCAGAATGGAAAGGGAAATTACTGAATTACAGTCAGAACAAAAACCTCCCCAGGACTTAACAGGGATATTGGTCTCTTATCTTGTTACATATGTTAAACTCATTCATATGTATTCTCACCAAGAAGGGCTATACATCCACTATATTTTAGTGGATTTCATTTTTGGAATAGTAAATTAGAATATTGGATGTAATGCAATGAATATTGGAATGTATTTCTCTAACACTGCACCCCATCTCTAAGAAAAGGATATTGTTAGTTAGCTCCATGCTTGAAAGGAGACAAATGGAGTGTAACAACAGAGTCACAGTTTATTACTCTTAGAAGGATACTTTTACACATCTGTCTCATAGTTTGACATATTTTTAAAAGGGAGGTAAGAATTTTTCATTTGAGCTGTGTCACATGAGCTAGACGACCCCTCGTCGCTGTCGCTAGTCCCCTGCTGCTCCGACCTATACGCCACCGCGTCTTGCCTCCCGAGGAGTGGGAAGGGGGAACCACAGAGGCCTCAGATGGTCGGGAGGGGAGGAGGTTACGTCACCACCCTCCACACTCCCTTGGCACACTCAGACAAGTCTCTCTCGCTTCTCCCTTCGGTGCTGTCAGTGTTGCTTCCTCCTCCCCGGCCTCCGTTTCTGTTCCCCCTTTTATTCCCACCCCATGTCACCTGCTTCTCTCTGTGGTCCGCCCTCCCCCCCAGTTACGGCCCCGCCCTCTCCTCTTGTACCAGGATGCTGGGCTGGGGAGTGGCTTCCTTCCGACCCTAGCGTCCCTGCCCATCCCACATCTCTCTCCCTCCAGGCTGCTCTGTGCTGTGGGCGGGCCCTTGCGCCAGGCCATTCTCACTCCTTCCAGGGCACCCCCCCTCCTGAGCTGGCCGTTCCCCAATGGAGGCGCTGCCCGGGCACCTCAGAGCCATCCCGATGGGTCCTGGGGGCTGTGGTGACGGTGCGTCATGTCGGCCTCTGCCTCCGGTAGGTTCCTTTGTTGTTGGGACTGGGGTGGGCGGCGATGCCGGAGTCCCGAGCGGCGGTGGCCAGCCCTGGGGAGGCTCGCCCTCGGGACAAGCTGGCTTTTGGGGATCATGTGATCAGCAAGTGGAAACATTATCCTGTTTGTAATTTAGCGCACTCTCCCAAAACCTCAGCATGATATAGGTTTAAAATATAAGTAAAAACATCACTTTGCAGTTCATGCTCAAAGCTGAAAACCATCCACACGAGCTTAATTTATATATTATTTATCATTTCGCTGTATAGCCTATCTTACCTAGAGAACTGGGAGTAGGTAACAAAAGAAAAAGTCCTGGAACAGAATAAAACTGAATCAGTCATTGACCTTTTTATACTTAAGACACCTGACTCCATGCAGTTGTGTTTAAGCAGACCATGACTGTCTAAATCTATGGAGGCCTATTATTCATCTACACATCCAATACACAAGTGATTACAAAGGACTCTAAGTATCAAAAAAACTAACTATTAGATGTTCTATTTTGTAGTTTCAAGGACAGACAAATACATACTTGGACAACTGCTTCTAAAATACTCCTTACTTACTCAGCACTGTTGATGGAGGAACTTTCTTGTTCATCTTGCTTCGATGTGATGAGACATTCACTACAAAGAAGCAAAAGCATTCTATATGATTTCACACTTGCATCAACCAGTGTTTGCTTATGTCTTTTTAAGCCCATATAGACTCTACTACCTCATGAACTACAAGCTTTATCTTCACAATCCATTGGCTCTTTTTAGCGCTGCTTGAGAAAGACAATCTTTCCCCTGTTCACAAATGGGAAGTTGACTTAGTCTAAACTACAGAAAATGACAATTGACAGGCAGTTTAGTAAGACATCCTGTGCCTCCTTATCTATCAGCAATTAGGAAACAAGATATGGGAACATGTATAAACTTATGTAGCAAGTGCTATCTGAACCTTGCCCAGAAAAAGAATCCAACGGCAATTTGGTTCCCCTTTTGTATATATATTGAGTCAATACCAGAGGATGAGCACAGTCTCATTAAATAGTTGTACCTATATATACTAACTAGAACTCTTATTGTTTTTCTCACTTGACCCCCTATTTTTGGCTTTATGTTCAGCACATTATGTTATTTTTCATTCTTCCTTTCCACGCTTATTTTATTTACAGGCTGCTTAAAGTTTTTGTCTTACTAGGAATCTTTACTATTAGATTCAAATGTTAGATCTTGTAATCGGTTTATGGACTGATATTATTATATTTTGTAATTCATTTAACTGACTGACAGAAAGTCTTGTAAAATCATACTTGTAATATGCCCTGTAAGAAAAGGGAACTATAAATGATGATGATGATGATGATGATGATAATAGATTAAAATATCCTTTTGATGAGTTCAACAATCTATATATCTGTATAATAATAGCCAAGGGTCCCCTGTGCGTGCGGACACTTATTTCCGCAGATCTGGGGCACATGGAGGGTAAAGAGATTTTTCTGCACAGTTGGGGCACTCCCCAGGGTTGCAGAAAAATGCAAAAAGTTTAAAAAATACACAGGGGGTTAAAAAAAACCCCCAAATTTACACCAGAGCCAACTGAAACTGAATTTATTGAAGACAGAGGTCCTGCAACTGGGGCATAGGGGACTGGGACTGGGCATCAGGCTTCCAGCCTTTGACGGTGCCCCACTGGTGCCAATGCTGAAGGTAAGGAGCCTACGGTGTTCCTGGGTGCCCTGCTGATTTTTCTCATCTGAGGCAAATCAGGCAGTTGGCCCCATACCTCACCCCCCACGATCTGGTTGCGGTGACCCATGCAACAGTCACTTCCAGACTGGATTGTTGTAATTCTATCTACATGGGGCTTCCCTTGACTCTGCTCTGAAAGTTGCAACTAGTGCAGAACACAGTGGCATGGGTGTTGATGTCGCTGCCTGTGCGGGCATGTATCTGCCCGATGACCTTTACTGGTTGCCTACTGAGTACCAGATCTATTTCAAGGTGTTTTTAAAGCACTAAATGGCCAGGGGCCTGCATATTTTCGAGACCGCCTCTCCCCATATGAGTCCCATTGAACATTCTGCTCTATGGACCAGCAACTCCTGGTAGTCCCTGGCCCTAGAGATGTCTGACTTGCCTCAACTAGGGCCAGGGCCTTTTTGGCCCTGGACTCTGCCTGGTGGAATGAGCTACGTTATAAGATAAGGGCCCTGTGGGAGTGTTACAGTTCTGCATGGCCTGTAAGACAAAGCTCTTCCGCCAGGCCTTTGAGGCAGCAAGCATCCACTTTGATCTGGCCTCCCTTCCAGTGACCGCAGATCCTAGAAGCCGACTGGAACTACAATATTATCTGTTGAGACGCATTGTTGTCTTAGTTTGTTGGTGATTTTATTGATTGTGTGTTGGTGATTTTATTGATTTTAAGGGATTGTTGCAATATGTTGTTGCAATATGTTGCAAATATGTTGTTGCAATATGTTGCAATATCTACATTAATTGCAGACCTGTATGTTGGAACCCGCCCCAAGCCTACAATGTGGGAAGTGTGGGATATAAGTCTAATGAAACAAATACATAAATTAATTAAATAAATACTTTTGCTTCTCATCTGTCTTTAGCAATTTTAAGAGTTTCACCAGTCATCCATTCAGGCTTTTCTTTTGTTTTGGCTACAGGAATAATCTTTGAGCATTTCCCCTTGATAATATCTCTGATTTCAACTCATAGCTCTTCCAGTTCTCATTCACTTGACCTAAGTAATGCAAACCTGATGTTTATATGGTTTTTAAACTCTTCAGGAATGTTGCTTAGATTGTATTTTGGCACTATGACTGGTGTTTTTCTTTAGCTTTATTATAATTTTCAACGTTAACAATTCATGATCTGAACCACAATTGGCTCCTGGTCTTTTTTTAGAAGACAGAACAGAGCTTCTCCATCTTCTGCTTCCAATGATGTAATCTATTTGATTTCTGTATTGGCCGTCTGGTGATGTCCATTTATACAATCATCTGTTAGGCTGCCTGAAGCACGTGTTTGCAATGAATAAATTGTTGTCTTCACAGAATTCTATAAGTTGCTCTCCTGCTTCATTTCATGCTTCAAGCCCAAATTTTCCAACAATATTTGATTCTGCTTTGTTTCCTACTTGTGCTTTCCATTCACCTATGATTATCAACACATCTTTAGGTGTGTGATCAATTTCTTCCTGTACACTTGCATAAAAACTTTCAATGTCTTCCTCATCAGCATCTGTAGCTGGGGCATAGATTTGAATGATGGTTATATTGATAAGCTTTCCATGAAGTCTGATTGAGATTATTCGGTCAGACTTTGCATTACAACTCCTGACTGCCTTGACTATATCTCACCTTACTATTCGAGCAACTCTGTTCCTTCTGTATTTGTCATTCCCCTTATAAAACACTTTGTAATTTTCTGACTGAAAAAGTCCTAATCCAGGTCACTTTAGTTTGCTCTGTCCCAGGATTGCAATGTTTAAATGTTCCATTTCTCATTTTATGATTTTGAGCTTACCTTGATTTGTACTTCTCATGTTCCAAGTTCCTACTATATGTGTCAAAAAGCATTGGACTTTCCCTTTGCATCCATTCAAATCAACAATTGAACATCCTTTTTGGCTTTAGTCCAGTTGCATCATTAAGAATAGTGCTAGTCATAGTTGTCCTCAGCTCTTCCCCAGTAGCTGATTGAGTCCTATCTGACTTGGAGGTTCCACCTTCCAGCACTGTATCTTTTTTCACTTTGGATTGTCTCATCATACGGTTTTTGAGGTAAAAATTATTCAGAAGTGGTTTACCATGGCCTTCTTCTGCCCAGTACTAACCAAGGTTAGTTGTAGCGTCCACTGCTGTTGTCTATGAAAGATCACCCACCAGTGTCACCTTCCTCTACTGCTGCTGCCCAGTAGCTACCATTCAAGGATTCCTCCGCCCCATCACCATCGGAAAACTGTCCATTCACTTGTGCTGATGTGGCTGTTGATCCCCAAAGGGGGGGGGTGCATCTTCGTGTGGTCTCTCAGCTGTGACCATTCCGCTTTGAGTAACTCTGCTAGGAGTTTAGACCCATTACAGTATTGCTCTCAGCTTTGCTGACACAGAAACCCCCTCACCACATTAAGATGTGCATCCAAGAGGAGGAAGCTCTCCCCATGTTATTCTTTAACACTTGGATGGCTCATCAAAGAAACAGGCTATTGCTTTACATTTATGGCAAGGCTAAATGCTGATGTTTAAATTGTCAGGTTTATCAATGCAAAGGTGATCATGTCTCTTGACAGGGCAAACTGTTAATCCCTGGGACTGTTGAAGGTTGAGAAAATGACAGGAGGGAAGACTTAAACCCCCTCTCTCCACATGCCAATATCCAATCCAATACTACACCCCTGGAAATTCATTTCTAAGCACAGAATTCTCAAGTAAATTCTGAGCAATAAAACTGAGGCAGAAATGTGACACTTTTGTAATGTGTGAATTGGTCCTTATTTTATTTTATTTGTGCATCTTTCCTGTTTTCCAAGAAGCACTTTGTTTCAGGAATTTAAACAGATATAGATAGATAGATAGATAGATAGATAGATAGATAGATAGATAGATAGATAGATAGATAGATAGATAGAGATAGACAGGCATATATATACACACACACACACAACACACTAATGACATAGTAACTTATTAAACTTCTGTAATAATTTGCAAAATGGGGATAAACATTATAAAAAATACAAACCCCCAAATAAAATACTTCACGTTGTAGTAGGTTGGTGCCCGTGTATTATTTCCAGCCTCCCATGACAAACTGTACTCAAAATTCTGTCGCTTTATCGTCAGGTTGAGTGGTGACACAGATGTTCCTAATGGGACAAAACATCAGTTACTAATCTTAGCAAGAATGGGAAAGTACAAATTCTACTCTGCATGCAAGATTAGTATTAGTGTACCCTTGGGTGCCTCCCCCTGCCCTGAGCAAAATATAAATGCAGTCATCATGGCATTAAAAGTCATATAAATATAATGCAGTCATCATGGCATTAAAAGTCATACTTCTCTAATTCATACTAACTGAACTGGAAGCACAAATATAAAGCAGAGAAGAAGAGGAGGAGGAGGAGATTGGATTTATACCCCGCCCTTCACTACCCAAAGGAGTCTCAGAGTGGCTTACAAACTCCTTTCCCTTCCCCTCCCCACAACAGACACCCTGTGAGGTAGGTGAGGCTGAGAGAACTCTGACAGAAGCTGCTCTTTTTCAAGAACAGCTGTGCCAAAACTATGGCTTGCCCAAGGTCATCCAGCAGCTGCGAGTGGAGGAGTGAGGAATCAAACCCGGTTCTCCCAGATTAGAGTCCGCGCACTTAACCACTACACCAAACTGGCTACACCAACAGTGACATCTAGATTTTAAAAAAAGAGACAGTGCACAGGTCTATATATAAACCAAGAGCCACAGCATGTTTTCCTTCCACTGCCAATGCTGAACTTTCATTTTCAACTACATTGGCAAGCAAATGTAACGCTGTTGTTTGTCTTGGTTTTCTTCCCAGTCTTCAACTGGCTATTACCCCTAAATCTGTATATTTATACATTTATATAGAGATGTATATATTCTTAGTGCCACCTGTAATTCATAATCATTTTACATTAAAACATTTTTAATGCTGAAAAATTGCTTCAGGAATGGACAGATGGTAGCTTAGTGACCACAATGACTTTCTGTCCATATTCTATTGCCAACAGGAAGAATGGGTTTCTCTTGAACTCAAGGTGGTAAAGAAGATAGGTATGCCTGCCCAAAATGTGGTGAATTCACTTCCGCTTTAGGCTTGCCACTGAAATTATGTACATCTGTACATAATTTATAGTATAATAGTATAATAATATAATATAGTATATATATATAGTATAATAATAATGATAGGAGCTGCGGTGGCTCAAGTGGTTAAGACGCTGAACTGCAGGCTGTGGAAGGTCGGTAGTTCAGCAGTTCAAGACCCGGGTGCCGCATGACGGAGTGAGCTCCCGTCTCTAGTTCCAGCTCCTGCCAACCTAGCAGTTCGAAAGCAAGAAATTGCAAGTAGATAAATAGGTACCACTTCAGTGGGAAAGTAACAGCATTCCATGCACCTTGGTGTTTAGTCATGCCGGCCACATGACCACGGAAATGTCTTCGGACAGCGCTGGCTCTCTTCGGCTTTGAAACGGAGATGAGCACCGCAACCCTAGAGTTGGATTTGACTGGCTTTCGAGCAAGGGAACCTTTACCTTTTTACATGTCTTTAGTCACCCAGCTAAGCAATGGCACAGTTACTAAGGATTTCTCTTTGCAAATACCATTGGAGTGGTATTTCCTGAAGGATGGAGCCTATAGCACATTTAGGAAGGCATGCAAAATAGTTCTATTTCAGAGCTCATTTGAAGGAAGGTGAACTGCCTCTGCAGGTTAAGCTGTGTGTTTTTAAAATCTGTACATTATTTTTATCTGTTAATGGATGTCTATATTTTGTGTTTTGCAGCTTCAAATGGCACTGTTGACCACCCTGTGTCCAGGGAAAGAAGGCAGTATATAACTATTTTAAATAAATAAATAAAACGACTGCAAGAACATTTATTCCAACTATCATTCTTTGTAAGCAAGATCTCTAAAGTGGTTTGATAACACTTACCAGGTATGCTGTACAAAACTGAAGTCATAGTACTGATGTATACTATAAATTAAAATGAAAATTTATCTTTTAGAAACTCTTTTTAAAAAGCAATTCAGCACACAAGACAGTCAATAGCTGTGTGTATACTACTGACTGGAATATACTTCCAACAGAAAAGAAACAGTACAGTACAGGATCCAGAATTAGAGTGTCATAGCCTTCATTCCAAAAGCAAAAAAAAAAAAAGTTTTAGGCCCCATGTTTGTACCACAGAGTTTGAAAATGGGTATTAGGTGATAAAGGGAACCTTGGACTGAGATCAGCCTCTCAGCTTGGGTGTCAGGGGGTCTGTACATCCCATTTTTCTCCATAGTTTCTTTCATTTGCCCTCCCCAGTGGCATATTTTATGAAGCCTTACAAGCTCTTTTCTTAGCTCCTTCCTGGCAATCTCAATTCTCAATTTTCAGGTTTCTAAATATAGTGCTACCACTAGAATAGATTACGTAAAGTAAACATAATGCTTAATTGTATAATTTATTCTACAAGCACCAGTTTCTTTCAGGAAGAGTTTGGATTTCTTGTTGCCATGTTTGCCTGGTTCTGTCCATATCACAGAAGCAACTGCATTCAATTAACCTGTTACTATAAGTGAAATATGGGGAGCTTTGTTCTACCATGTAATTTTTATTTAAGAATCTAAACTAAAAACATCCCTGAGCTAAATTATTATCTTTGTGAGAGTGGCTGGAAGTTGCCAACATCCTGAAAAACAGCTGTCTGTGCACTGTACAATTGCTACAATGAGGAACCAAGCATAATCTATACAAAATCATCACAGATTCTTCTTGGGTCTGCCTTTCCTCCACACTTCTCCATTTCCTTTACATTTCCTCTTTGTCAAACTCAAAATAGATAAAGTTCACTGGTGCTGAAGCAGTCTAATGGAACCAAACTATTCTGCAGTCACCCACTGTGACTCAGGTGCCCTGACTTCTCCTTCTAGCTATGCTTTAAAAAGGTGCCTATGACATTTCATTGCAGATTGCAAACACTACATCTTGCCCCCAGAAGAGGGTAAGGATGCACACTTGAGCTTTTGCCTTGTTGAAAGCAATGCAACATGGATACAGTACACTCATGTCTTATCTTGCTCAGGTCATTTCACTGCATACAGAAAAGTCTACCCAATTGGGATGACTATGACAGCTCCCACCCAGCTGCCAGACAAGAGCCTTCCCTGAGGGTCACTTGTGGCCTTGCCCATTTTGCTGTTTCTGTTTAGACCTGGAACTGTCACTGCTGTCTCTGCAGCACTGCCTCTGTTGGTGGTCAACTTTTTAAAAAGAGTAAGCATGCTGCATTTGAGAAAGGGGATTTGTGAGAGGCTAGAAGCCATGAGGTGCTTAGGACTGATCAAAACTGTGGAAACTAAAGGCAAGGGAAGTTTTGGTCTGATAGAAAATGAATACAGGTATCATTTCACTGAAATAGAAATCCATGTGGTATAGTGGATAGATAGTTATACTAGAAATATGGAAATATGGAGTCGCAGAGCTCACTGGGCTAGTGAGGAAGATTTAGTTTCACAGACAAAAATCTACCTCACTGAATTTTGTGGGGATTAAAGGAAGGGGGCAACCATGTGTATTGTCCAGAAATCGTTAATGGAAGGGCAGGGCAGATGTGTAACAAATAAATAGAACTCTGTTTCTTATGGGCCATGTCTCTGTAGTTGGGTCATGTCTCTGTAGCCAGTTAAAACAAAGTTTCCTATTTGTTATTTGTGAAATGGAATAGACAGCATAATATTATTAAGATGTTTCTCCTCCATCTTCTCTAAATACTTCAAAACTGTACATCTATACCCATAGTATGTCTTCTAGAAGGGAGCACAAACGATCATGCACTAAAAAGGTGATGAACAGCATAAGTAACTTCTAGGCCAGGGCTATTTTTGGGCAGGAACGCACAGGAACAGAGTTCCGGCTGGCTTCAGAGTTGGCCACACCCACTACAGCCAAAACCTCTGCGCATGCGTGGCTATGGAGAAAAGGCCTAGAGAGCGACCCCCCCAACTGTAACTCCAAGGCAGGCGGGCCAGGGGGGCCCCCTGGAAGGATCAGGGAGGCATTTAAATGCCTCCCCGTGCCTTCCCCGGCCTGTCCAAGGGCCGGCTTGCCCGGGTGCCCCACAGCCATGGGGTGCCTGGGCAAGCCAAGGGAAGGTATGGGGTGTGGCCTAATATGCTAATGAGCTGTGCTGTCAGGGGTGTGGCCTAATGTGCTAATGAGTTCCTGCTGGGCTTTTTCTACAAAAAAAGCCCTGTTCTAGGCTATGATTTAACCACATCCTCCTTTCTCATTCTCATATTCTTTTAATAACAAGAAAAGTTTACCACAGAACTCTGGTAAAGTGCAGCTGCTAAAAAACCTACACGAAAACAACCAAAACAAGACTGCAGACCTATTCCAATGGCTCTCTCCTCTACAGACATGGCATAAACTGGCCAATTTTACTAAGCTTTGCTATCATTGTTGTTCTCTCACTGAAATGAATAGCTTGTACAGGGGTATGTAACCTTTTATAGGTTGCAAAAAATATGCAACATATATTTATGAAGATGTTTGTGTGCCAGCAAAACTGGGAGACATGTACGGACAAGCCAGCCCCAGCGGTGCTTCTAGCATTCCAGGGATTCAGCCTGGACTCGGCTAGCAGCTGTGCTGGTCTGGGAGCTATGAGAGGAATAAGCCACAGCTTTTGCCTCCTCTGATACTGCTGGCCTCAGCAGTGCTTCCAAAGTTCCTTGGCTGGAGATCTGGTCCTGGCTGCCATGCAAAAGGCTCCAGTGTGCCACTGCTGACACCTGTGACAGGACTGCCTATCCCTGAACTATTGCACAGCAGGAGCAGGATTAATTCTGTTCATCAGTAGACAGACAAAAAGCATCGTGGAACATTAGAAGCTCAGGCCTGGTATACACATGCAGGAGAATGAGGAGGGGAAATGGAAATAGAATGAACGATATTGCTTCTGACAGCAGGAGGAGAATATTTTGGAATGCTCCTATATGTTAAAATCTCCCCACAAACATAAAAGTAGCAAAGCAAACAAAGAGAGGGGTGGGCATGTCCCCCTGCTCTGTTAGCTTCTTCTGTGTGTGGAGTTTTTTTATGCAAAGGAAGATACACCTGGAATTCACCTCCTGTAGTTTGAAGTGATACAGGCCATTCTGCCTTGTGGGAGTTGCACACTTCATTCTTCTGCATGTCCCAAACCAGGCCTTTACATGTGAAGAGAGAAGTACACAGCTGGAGGAGTTATTGAAGTTTCAACTATAACCACCCAAACAGCTGAAAAAATAAACTACTTTCCTTTCTAAACTAGCTTGTCTGTTTAATTATGAAATCCAGTGCATTTAAAACATGTACCTCAAACAGTGCATCCAACTAGTTGTCCCAGTGGCATACACATAATTGTGCAGCATGGCAACTTGGGCAGCAATCCTAGATGGACTGAACAGTAAAACACTGCACACAGTACATGAGACCACAAGACTTACTTCTAAGTAAACACTATAAGGTTGGGCACTGATTTACTATGACTTTCAATGCCATTCTAAGTAAAGCCACTCCATTCTAAGCCCACTGATTTCAGTGGATGCTGGGTCAAACCTACATGATTTCAGTGGATGCTGGGTCAAACCTACATGATATGATTTCTAACAAGTCAGGCCTGGGTTTCCTGAATCTGCCTCAATTTCCCTAC